TTATTATAGACAGTAGCATAATAATAGATTAATAATAGAGGTAGATTATTATGCTACATTTTTTTATGCGTCCGTTTTCGAGATTCACTCTTGCTCGCAATTTCTCCCTGGACAGTTTGCTGATCTATTCTTCAAGTGTCATCCAAATGGAGACGAAATTTTTATCCGTTGAGTGTTTGATAATAGTAGTCGCAATCTTATCATTACAATGGTAAAAAAAAATTCAAGAAAAAAATAAACGGCTTATATTTATTGAGAAGTTGGGGACGCATAAGCACAAACAATTACGATAACTATAACATAAAATAATTTAGCAATGCAGCGATGCATCAACGCCAAGAACTGAGAAAGGTTTCAGTTTTTAACTAGAATTCACCGTTTAAAATAAACATGCAGATCGTATAATAGGTGATTTGTCATCAGTTACTGAAACGAAAGATGACCAATACTCACACGATGATATTCTCTCCTGTATGGTTCTGTAATATGTATGCGTGTTCGCAAAAAATGAAATGATACTTCCATTTCATTTGATCCGTGATAAGATCCCAGCATCACTTTTTTTAGAATTTAACTATTCACAGTCTCCTGAACTCCTGAACAAAACATTGGCAATCTTAATGAGGAAAGTTTTCTTTTTTTCTTCGGAAAAGATATCGCATACAAAGAAGGATAAATCTGTCGAACTTAAGAACCTTCATGGGAAGTAGTATACCATTCAGTAACATCTAGAAAATATCCACCACTTGATCTTAAACCTGGTAAGTACAGAATTCGTGTTCGTCAACTTTTATGCCATACGTTGCCCATGATACAGAAAAGATTCTGTGTCAGGTAGTTGTTGTCTTCCTGTCTGTTACAAATCTATGCATTAACGAACACAAAATAAAATATTTTCAAATCTCATGTTCAAAAGATTGGAAAAATTAGCAGCTAACAGAAAAACTCAAACAGTTTATAATCTACCATGATTGCATTCTGCTCTTATCGATATTAACCACAATTTTATTAGTAAGCATGATTATGTACGACCTCCAAAATTCCTGTTTTCAAAGACTGAAAAATCCAGTCAAAAAGTTAACAGAAAACGATGACCAAAGAAACGTCGTATTTTGAATATAATTTTTAAAGCAAAAAGCATTCTTCAAACTCATTAGTTGCTTTTTGCAACACTGAAACGAAATAGTAAAAAATATATATTGTACCAAACAAAAGTGCAAACAGAAATAATCTCGGAATACAAAAAAGTGTAAAAAAAATAGTTGCAAGTCAAGGGAAAGACTTAAAAATTTCAACTTTGGTAGAAATGTTTACTTTTTCAAAAAGATAAGATTTCAAGTGGACAATGCTCCACATTCCGTACGATTCGCTAGAGGTGTTTTTCCATTATACTTCAAGTAATTTCTGCGTACTGAAAAAAGAATGTTTACTTTCTCAAACTATTAAAATATGTGAATACAAGGAGTAATAATTTCCAACATAAAACAATTTTGAGGTTACTACATTAAAACCTAATAAAAAAAAACTAAATTGACTAAACTGACTATAAATCAAACTAAGCAAATATGAAAGCAGGTCAAGAGGAAAATTTAATGCTTTGAAGCTTTATAACTCAGCAACTAATGAGTTTAAAAAAAACACTAAAGAAACAAATGGCTAAAGAAACTTTATGACGCATCGAATTATACGTTACACTGGTAATAAACGCTGACGTCACACGTCACTCGCTTCAGAAGCTATGGTACCCACGTCAATAAATCAACATCTGAAAAAGGAAAAATAGTGGAAATAGTATTTGCTGCCTGCCAATATTTGGCATATTTTCGGTTTTTGAAATGTAGGCAGTGTGCTTCCTCCCTAGAGAATTATTTTTATCAAGACATAAAACGATATATATTTGAATCCTTACATTCTTCACTGATTAAGTAATCCAGCACAAGTCCAAAAAATGATTTATGTAATTTTGCTTGGATATTACCCGATTGGAAATACCTGAAATATAAAGATAAGGAATTTCAAACATCACTTCCCTTAACAGACGAAAAACTTCTCGCCAATATTAAGAAATGAAAAAATGAAGCAACAGAAGCAAGAAATAATACCATCCCAAATGGAAACCGCAGCTAGGGCACACACCAACGGTCCACTCATAATTCGGCCACCAAGTATCCGCTAAGTAAGACTGCAAAACAATATTTTTTTTCTGCATGGGTGATGTTTAATCAAATATAAGAAACAGAGAATGATTATCCAGATGTAGCATTTGGATGCATGACAATGACTGAAACTTTCGATAAGATGTCTCAGTGGGAAGTTTGCGAAACAATTCCGGTGCATCTCACATTATTCTAATTTTATTTTGCAGTAAATATCCCAAGAATGAGAGAAAAATAGTAAAAAGCATCTCAGATAAGCAAAACAATCACTGATGACCTTTTTATCTTTTAAAAAACCATCCAAAAGTAATGATATGTGGGGACGAAATTTCACGATTTGCTTACCTTACCTGCAAGTTTCAGTTCAGCGTTTGAAGCGGTTATCACATCGAATTTTTCAGCTGCAAGAAATTAAATAGAAAAATGATAAACTAGGAAATGATACGCTGAATATAATCCATGTTTATTTCTCCAAAATATTGTAAAATTTAGAAAAAAATTTCGAATTGAACAGTGGTTTGCTGACTTCTTATTCCACCCACATGATATACTTTAGACTTTGATTATCGAAGGGTTGCGACTACTTCTAATCGTCTACCTGCAGACAAAATCGAAGTTCTAAACTGCCAAAAAGAAGCATTTCTTGGTTTGTCAAATAAAGCGGAATATGCACGAAATTATATGGAAGCCTATTGATTCCTACGTGAATCTCATAAGATTTAAACGTACGGACGGCATTTTCGAAAACTTGAACGAGTTGATTGCGGCCCAAAATAGTCATGTTATATGAACGTATAGCTTTCACACTCTTCTCATTGCTAAGCATCGAACCTTCGACAATGTCACGTCCGCAGTTACGACAAAGCAGTGCCACAGACCCTGAAGAGCAAGCCATTTCATGTAAATTCCAAATTATTTTAGGCTAAAGCTGAAAATACTTTGAAGAAGTAACTATGAACTTGACTTTATCTGAACTAACACCATAATTAAAAACATTCAATTCACCAATAATCAATATATGATGTTCTAAACTAAATAAAGCTCTGGACGATTAAAACTGATTTTGGGACGCTCCTAATGATGAAAACCAAATCATACCTGCAGGGACAGTTAACACAAAACACAATACCAACCATAGCAAGTACATATATCTGTGATACACCTGAAAAATAACTAGCATATTATCATTCGTTAATCAGCTTCCAATCCTCCAATCTTGCAAAGATTACCCAGTACTACCCCACTGACAATCACCACGTAGACGAAGGAACGAAATGAAAACGACGACCCGGTAGGACAATGTTGTAATGTTGGGTCGGTTTAAAATGTGGTGTTATCTGAGGGATCCATAAGAGAAATTTCAATTAGTTTGAAATAAAAAATCTAAAAGTACTGGTTAAGAAACTCATTAAAATGTCGAAATGATTTCGACTGCTTTTTCTAATTTAGTTTGCAACAAATAGACAACCTGTTTTGACAGCCAATCCATCACATGCAAACTTCATCATCAATTGCAAACATTTTAGCCATTTCAATTTAGAGATAATGCAGTGGGAAATATTTCTACTACTCATTATTGTTTCTTCATTGTACCTAATCTATACAACTATTTTAATTATCTTATGAGACTTTCAAAATTCACATCGCCTCATTCACGTTTTTAGCATTTAATTTAAATTTGACAGGTTTTCAACTTTTTAGAAAGTCATGTTACCATTGTTTATAAACTGCACTGAACGTTTGCTTCAAATGATAGGAAAAGGGTAGTTAGTATCCGTTGTACGCTGTGAAAAAGTCTGTTGTTGACAATGACGATAGCTATAACTATTCCCGATGAACATCATTACTTAAATTTTCTTGAATATTTTTGATAAATTAATATCTCTGTCATTGTTGGAAAAAAACTGAAATATTTTTAGTGTAAAAATAATGGCAACATTGTAAAAATTTTTAGGTCAATTCATGTTTTACGATATTTTAAATCAACTACACTGATTATCAAGTTCATATGCAATTGTAAAAGATTTCAGGTCAATATCGATATATTTACATGATCTTTGGGTTAATCAGTCCTAACTTCTTTTATTATTGTAAATAAACTTTTCCTATATAAGAGATATGAATTGTAAGACATTCAATTTGGATTCTCAATTAGCAACGCACAACCGAATCTCTCTAACTATATCTACAAGCATTTCATGCTCAGACAAGTAATTGGTATGATGTATTATTTACCGACATCTTTTCACTGCTTCTACTTGTATTAAGAAAATAAATATTTCGATGTTTATAAATGTTTCGGATAAACATTCATAGTTGTCAACTGACAATTCTCTTACACAATGCAAACTTTCACAACAGTTATAGTCCCTGAAGGTTCTAATGAAGAATGAATTGGATGAGGTATTAGTAACATCGTCATATTTGTAAAATGTTACAAATGATGTTAACGATTCCTCCTTATGTGACTGCGATAATTAACTTTTTTGTTACGCTAAATTTACTTACATAAACTGATTTAATTGCTTACAACTGATAATACAGTGGCTATCATCATTTTTATTGTAATTCATCCGCGGATTTTATTGTTATTTAAAAATATTCAAGATGAATTTAAGCGAGGATTTGTTCAACTTATTAAAATTCGAGTTATTTTAAGTAAATTAATTGGTAGTTAGGTGGTAATGTTCAGTTTTTATTGAATGAAATTATGTAGAGAGCAGTTGTGGCTATTGAAATGTCCGCGAAATATTCTAATGAAATCAAATGTCGAAATATTAAAAACTAATAATACAAATGAAATGGAATACTGAATCATGTCTCTCCGGATCTAACATGAATACAGCAATACATACTTTGAAATTACAGTACTTACATATAAATCTTATTGAAATAAATCATTACTGAACATCGCTTTCTTCCAAGTGACAACGACGTTAAAGATTCGATCAAAATTGGTTTGTATCCATTCGTTCCTTGTTTTTGGCTGTTATTTAACAGGATGACAATTGTCATATCGTTTCGATAACAACATTAGTAGTCGGAGGTCAAAATCGTTTAAATTCCCTTTATTTTTACCTAACTTTTGTTTTTACCATAAGTTTGTATGTATTCTTCTCCACGGATATTCCCTTGTCGCGGAGAAAGACTTGCATGCCCTAATGAGGTTGCGAGCCGTGCTGCCGGTAGCACATGCCCCCCAGTAGGGTCTATTATGCAGACAAATCTCAGCAGAAAGGTCAGATGAAGTCAAGATGGGCTCGGCAATCACCTTAGAAGAAGAACAACTCTATCTCCAAACTCGGTCAGATGGAGTTCGTTAGCCCTGTAAGGCTATCCACCTAAGCGAAGGATACTTTAACAAAACCTACTTCCTGAGGACTCCACTGTCACTGTCCTGTTTCGCTAGGTCCTGGCAGATGAATCTTAAGAATAAAGAGTGGGAGTTTCGCGCACATTGTACCTCACCTAAAAAATACACTGCGCAGGCTCGAAGGACATATTCACACTTGTACCATTTACAGCAAACATGGCTTCCTTTCCAAATCTTCATTCGCAGAGATAATGATGATATGTGTGTTAATTTGGAAGTACTAACGAAATGATATCTTTCGCTACTTCTTTTTAGCTTATATTCGTGTATTAATATTCCCCATTAAAAATTATTTTTTCACTTGCGATTTCTTACAATTTCGCATTTTCATCAAGGAGAGAGACCGAATTGAATCATTTGGTTTTAAATTAAAAAAGAAGAATATCAAAAGGATTATTCAGGGAAATTAGTTAAGGATGGAGCAGGAAAGAGGTCAGTAGTAATGTTTACGAAATAAAATATCGCATCGTTAATACCAAAGATCCTTTACAATCCCTTTTTATCAAAAAGAAAAGAAATAAAAGGAATTTAATGGTGGAAAATTGTGAAATTAAAGTTGTTTGAAATATTTAATTATAATCGAATGGAAAACAAGTTTCCCATAACTAAAATACATGATAAATCATACTTCCAATAGCTATCATTTGTATTATGAATTTAGCACAAAGAGCTTTGATAATTAAGATTGTTGGGAATTTCATTCTTCGAAAGCTGTCAGCAAATCGAAGACACGTTTTGTGAAGGTTGTCCCAGGAAGCCTCAACCACTAATATTCTAATCAAATCGTACATCAAACAATTCCTAAGCTTTACTGAGGTAAACTTCTTTCATTGTCAGGAGCCTAGAAATCATATCGATTGAGTGAAATAACTATTATTAATTCCTTTATGTTGATTATATTTTAAGGAATCGTGCACAAAAAGTAAAACCAACTGCGCTTTTCCACTTTCTAAATTTTTTAACCAAAAAGAATGAGGACAGCAAACAGGAAAAATGTCCGCCTGACAATATCCTATTACTCAATGCTGTTGGACAGATGTAAATTACAGAAGAAAAAAAAATGTTCTTAAAGTAAAGGTGTTTATGTTTGTTACAAAACAAACAACATGAGACCGGAAGGACAAAAATAAGAAATTGAATAGAGAGGAGACAAGTAAGATTTCGTTGATATCCATATCCGTCGTATTTGCGGAACCTTTGCAACACTTCATTTGTTGAGGATAACAGGAAAGAATTTAGAGGGGAATGTTGACATCAAGTTAGGTGACTCGATTCTCTTTAGGTTAATAACGTTTTGTGTTCCATAAAATTTTTGAAATGATTTCGGAGATGAATCATTGATGGAACCGCTTGAACATTTGTATAAATCAGCTGTACTGAATGATCAAAAGCAATAGTAATTTGTAAGTAATGTGAATGGTTTCAAAAATGAAATAAAAGACGGTGACATGGTTGACAACAGGATCAATAATAACTGTGGGTACAAAAAGGGTAGAATGGACCAACAATTTTTTATCATGTAGATAGACAGATATCTTGGGAACCGGTTCATCCATCAGTCAGTACAACTCAGTCATTATTGTAGTTTTGATTTGTGCGCGGAATGGGTGGGAGGAGGTTCGGGGGTGTGGGATGGAAAGGACTTGGGAGGGATGCGCGATCACTACCAATGGACTGTTTCTTCCGCATCTGCGCCAATGAGTTGTAGTAGTCAGTGCAATAGAGGATATGAAGATATAGGCAGATATCAGGCACAGTCATCATTGTCGACATTGTCAACTAGTGTCATCATTATAGTGTCCTAATCGCTGTCATCAACATCTTTATTTCCATCGTTTTCGTTTAAGTATGGGTGATAACTGAAGCTATTCGAACCAAACATTTACTCTTCCTACGGTAGCATAACATATTCTTGCTGAAGTACTTTCTTGACCGCTGGTCTGCAGTCATATATTGTCATTCGACCCGATCTACGCCTTCTATAAACAAAACCATACCAAAATTAACCGCAACTTTGCAACAGAGATCCGATGACAATCTCATCGACATAAAGATCGCAGAAGCAACTTCCGTAATAGCTTTAATCTGTCAATTGAAACGTCACCCTCAACTATTCTTTTTATTTTCGCCAACCTTTCATCATCGACATACTACTATTCATTACTGTTGGCACACTAATTAAACATTGTTGGCTGATAAAACTCCCTTGGAATCAGCAGTGCCCGTGACCTTTGACCTTTCACTTCCCTTTATATGACCTTTTGCAATAGTCACACGAGCACAAAAGCACTTCCTACTGAAAACACGATTATTGCAGGCCGCACTAAAATTTTGCATATATGCTTATTCTAATATTGTTATTCACCAATTTACAAGGTTTGTTGCGAGTTTTGACTTCTTTGAGGTGAAGCCTTAAAACTTTGTAAGGCAGCGTGATTTTATTTAAAATTGGTGGATTTTACCAGTTTGGATTTTTGAAGTCATGTTTTATAACTTTCAAATTTCTCTTTTTCGAAATTCTCTTCTCACTTATTCTTTTAATTTCCACAACTCTGTTGAACACAGATAAGAGATCTGTCTGATAAAGAACTGCCAGATGAAACGGATCGACCTGATTTTTTCAATTTGCGAATGGAATTTAATCATATATTTTGTGGGCAGAAGATGAATTGATAATTCATAAAATAGTATCAGTTATATGAAGATTTTAATTTTGCAAAAATTTGTATAAATTTCAAAAAAAAGACTACATGAAAATAGCTAAAATGACTTATAGAGAGATTTCTATGGACGACTCGAACAATGTTTCATTTTGGCTGAATGATTCAGAAGAAATTATTATATTATAGCAATTCTTGAATTCTATTTAAATATTCGAATTCTAGAAAACAATACGTTTCTTGCTTAAATAATTGATTCTGTACTGCGACAGTAACCGTAGTTGCTTGTTGTGGAGTTCTACTTGAATTTATTAATCGCTTTTCATTTTCTTATTTAAATTAAAAGTATTCGAGATTGTCAAAGCTTTTTTAATGGCTTGTGGAAGTTGTTACTGAAATATTTTTTCATACTTCTCATTAGTTCCTATCGTCAAAGTACTGAGGGGTTAAGCCTAACGGCTATTTCCTTCCTTGGATGGCAGTTGCGCTACCATCTATCACTAGATGGTTAATGGATTCTATCTAACGGATTCAACTTTCCATTTTGATTACAATCATAAATTACAGTTTTGTTTTTTCTATTTTTCTTATCAATACATAGATATATCATCATTTCGAGTGATACTGCTCAAATGATAGTAGTGATTACGTCATGTGCTTGCTTGTTATCAACAATGGACTTAAAACTTGTCTAAAAGTATATTTTATTTCACCAGAGTTTCCGATTAGATTTTCATTACAGTTATTCAGTAATTTGCTTATAATTATTTCTATAGAAGAAATGGAAAAGAAGATATCTTTGCAGTGGATTGAAATAAATAATTTCCATATTTGATTTTTAATTCTTTTGTAATTATTGATTCATTTCAACAATTTATTCATACTTGTATAAGGGAAATTTTCGAGTCTCCCTGTTAGCATATCTTTCCTTTTATCATAAAAGTGCAAAAAAAGAAAAAAAATTAAAAATGATTCGTTTAGTTAATCAATTCAACCATTATATTATCAATATCAGTTTTACATTTTTTTTGAGCTTTTCTGCTGCTATAATTGCATACTGACTCATCGTTAATTGCCCAATTGAAATAAAACTGAATAAATTTTAGTTTTTGAATTAAATTCAAAAATATGTCTATTCAATTTCATTAATAATATGAATGGATCACATATGAGGAAGTTTAGTTCGTATGCATAAATTTGAATTTAATGATAATTACCATTGGAAATGACCTGAATTTTCTCAGATCTAATACACGCTTTGTAGTGTGAAGTGTACGGGTTCTTGTCATCTCACATATACATTTTTTTTTTCTTTTTAAATTGAGATGTTAGAATGTGAATGATTTGCTTTGTTATGAATTTGATAAATTTATAGCGTAAAGTGTGCCTAACTTTTTTTTCGCTGACATCGTAAAAACTTAACGATCCAATCAAAACTATTCATTTGTTTCTTTATCTTCTTATTCTATCCTTTAAAACCGCACTCTTTTGGTAAGCTTATGTTTGTTTTTCTTAACGAAAATTGAGACAAAGTTAAGTGACGCTTGTCAACATTCAAATAAAGTATAGCACTTGGTGAGTGATGTATGCAAACAAATAGTTGGCTTTAGTTTATTCTGTGCGTGACCTCTAGAGAATTCAGCTATTGGACACTCATCCTCTTCATTCTTATTATTTTCTCTTTATTATTCTTGAAACTGGAAAGCATAGCATTATACTTATCATTGGAATGGTAAGTATGGACATTTAAAGTTCAATAATTTTGAAATATCGCAATCAAATCGCAGACATTCAAAAGCGATTTAAGTTTGAAATATGTGAGAAATTTGTAGAATCTAAGGATTTTCAAGAAAAATGAACTTTTACACCATGAAAATATTGCAAGATTGGACACTATTGTAGCTTTAATTTCTACTTATCATTATAGTAATTAGTTATTACTATAATTATGAAAGAGTAATTAAAAGTTATTAAAAATAGTATTTTAGATTAATGTGAGGTTGAAATTTACAAATATCCCTCCCTTGATGTGTTCTATTTGTTCATTGCGGAAAATGTTATTTAGTGAAGTAAAAGAACATAATTAATCATCATGTTTTATACTTCAGAAGAATTACAAAAAGTATTTGATGAGTTCGATAATCTTGAGAGTTCCATACTAAATTGTTCAATCTTACAAGCAAGAATTGCCATTTTCAACTTTTTATTCACAACTAAACGGGATAGCAATGAAATTTCATCTCTTTATTATTACTGTAACTTTAATATATGACGACTAGTAAGACAAGTGATTAAGCGGTTGAGAATGAATAGGGTACCATCGTTGGAATAACGTCGTTGGCATGACAAGTGTCAAATACACTGTCATCGACTACCCGGACGTTTTTGCTATTTCGACAATAGAACTAACATTTCTGGTATTTTTTTTTTGTCGTTGCTATTATAGTTCTAATTACAAAGGACACTAACAATACTTACAAGTAAGATAGTTTCGAATTCCCTCTAAATTGCATTTCCGAATTGCTAACTATCTAATGATAAAATTCTATCTGTCACAATACTTCGTTTTAGTTCATAAATTTTAATGTTTCATTGATGCCTTATCAATCATGCGTTGGTAAGCACATGTAGTTGGGACAATTTACTTTAATCTGAATAATAGATACTGTCAAACAATACCAATCTGATGTGAGCAATACGAAAATTGGCAATTATCTGTACAGGAAGATTAATCATCGTTTAACGACGAAGAAATTGTCCTCTATCTATCTATTCATTCATTGTACAAAACCGTCTGTTAATATGTATGTATGGGATTTCAAATACATACCTGTGGAATGATTTTGTCGATTTTTGTCTTCTTTTTTTCAGAAATCATGTAATTTCGAATTGAAGAAATGAAGCAATGCCTTTATTTACCATTGATTTTATTGATTTTACCTTACCGATCACTGATTTTGTTGAAAAGATTACTTAAAAATTTGTTTCATAAATAAATACATTAAAATGTTTACCACAATTTTTCCCTTGGTTTCTCTTCCATATTGAACATTGAACTGTATATTTATGAACTGATTGTACCAGTAAACAAACTAATCTCTTGATATTTACCGATCTCATCATACACTTTTACTTCTCATCATTAATTAATCCTTTGATTTACTTACAATTCAGCATAAATGGGATGGAATGTATCGACTGTTCAAGATATCTGGAAGAGAATTTCACTTTTAATTTCTTAGATTACTGAGAAGCAGAAATATCTACTTGGAAGTTTTTCTTTCTTCTAAGTATCAGTTGTTTATTGATATATGGGAGTGCACCAAAGAGTGAAGGGAAATATAGGCTATAGGAAATATAGGGAAATATAGACATGAAATGGAAATATAGGCTTCGTTGGCTTGCTAGAGGGAGTAAACTAATGGGTAATAAAGTAATTAGTAAACAAGTAAGGAAAGAGTGAAATATTAGCAATACCGAAATTCAAATCCTAGCAAATCAATTAAACTTGATAATCTATACTTTTTATTTGAATGCAGCAATATTCAATAGAACTGCAGTTAGATTTATATCTTCCCTGGATTTTATCTCAAAATTTCTTACTAAAATAGTTCGGATATTTTGTAGTGTTTGACCACAGCACTCTTTCAATAAAATCCTTTTTTTTTTCTCTCCTTCGATTCCTGTTTCTCTCTCTTATGATCTGAAATCAAAAAAGTGACATTGGACATTTCGTTTTCATAACTAATCGCATTCAGTCGTAAATAATTCCAGAAAATTTTCATTGTTGTTCCTACTTTTGTATTATTGACAATATCACTAATGGAAGACAGAGAAGGAGACATCTGCAAAAAAGTTTGCAACAAAATTTGCTTCTTACCTTCTTGGTATCTAATTATTTAATGAAATTGTGTTAATTAATTAACTGAGAATGAATAAAATAAATTAAATTGTAATAATAAATATCGTTGTACTGATTTGTATGAGAAATGAAGGAAAGAAGGAAAATTTATCTTACTGAAATGACCAGTTTACGGTTTTCTAGCAAAAATGAAAGTAGATATTAGAATAAAGTTAAATGTTGGTAATACAAGGAAGGAGATCTTGATACAACCTTTGTTGTTATAGTAGTGTAGAAGTGATGCAGTAGAAGTATTTATGAACATATTCAACTGAATGATTTCTCAGAATTCATAAAAGTTTCATCGTATTAAATGTTTGTATGGCGCAGAATATAGCGGGAATGGAGTAAAAAAGATCAGTTGATAAGTTATGAAAATAAACTTTCACGTCACTATTTATAGGGAAGTCAATTATGCAAATATCAGTGTATAAAAGTTAAATCATTCCAAAGGTATTTGAAATTGAAACTAACATAGACTTAGGATGCATCCATCTTCTGACAAATGAACCCTTTTATGAAGATGACGGACTTTTCAGTATTGAATTTTACAGTTTTAGAATTGAACTACAAAACTAAAAGTTTAAAATAAATTGTTATAGGTATGATAATATCAATTCCAAGATCCTTCCCACTAAAAAGTTATTGTTTTGATTTTGTGCCAAGGATAAAACTATAAATTGACAGAATATTGACCAATGATAGTTATATTTTAGGCTTCCTTACACTGCGACAATGTGAAAGTAATGTATGTTTAAATGGCGCAACATGTAAAGTAAACGATCAAGACCGCAGCTTCCATTGCCTTTGTCCAGTTGGTTTCGAAGGATTGTTGTGTGAATCGGAGAAAGTTTGTTCTTTGGAATGTCACAACAATGGAGTATGTGTCTTCACAGATGTCGGAAAACCAAAATGTAATTGCTCAGAAGGTATTTGACCTTTTTTCATCCATCAGTTTGTTCTTTTAAAGTTTTCAAAATTTAACTTGAAACAATTAAATCATGCGTTGATGTATGTAGATTTCTTCACACTGCTTAATCACAGAATGTAATTATTGCCACTGTTAAAAGAGATATATCATTTCCTGTCTATTTAATTATAATCTAATTAGTCAAGTCACTTTCAGTTATCGTTATAGCCCACTTTACGATAATTTATCGTAATATAGTTTATATGGCTGTAATTACAAAGTTTTCTCATAATAACGAATGTTTGACCTTTTCCATTGAGCTCGTAAAATAACCACTTTACGGTCCATATTTTTCGGTTATCGGATCTCATTCTTCATCAGTTCTTTCTATTGGAGAATTTGTCAATATGTATAGATAAGTGTCACTGACGTCATCCCATAATTAACCTAACCGAGAGAAAATTCTGCCACGACATCTTTTATTATGATAATTGAAGAATTAAGGAAGAGAGGGAAAGGGAAATAATGGTAGAAGTTGCAGAATTTTCGGGGGAATTATGTGAAATCAGCTCAATTGACTGTCAAGTTCAAGGTTGTTCAACTAGTGAAAGGTATATTTCCTCACTGCTAACTTAATTTGAATAAAAATGACAACTAATTAAATTTACTAACTTTAATATTCTATTCATCACGACTTTGTTTCCATGCTAATGACAAAAATCCAGAAATGATGGAATTTAATTTGAGCCTGAAAGTTTACAATTTGTAGATGTGTAGTTACTGAGAGAGACAAATGGCGCTGTGTGCATGATCCATGCATTCCAAACCCATGCCAACACAATGCGACATGCACGGTGGTTAAAGTAAGTGAGAAGTTTCTGTTTAAGTAAATTTGTTCATGGCGTGCAGTCACAAACAGTGCATGCAACTGGTTTGAAGCAAATGAAAATGCAATTACTGTTCAGTATGATTAGCAATTATTTAGCTCATTTTCTGACATTATAGCATGATTAATTAGACTAGTTGCAGGATGCCTTCGAGTGTATTTGTATGAATGGATTCGAAGGTGCATTGTGTGCAAACGATATTGATGAATGTGTGACCACACCTTGCAAAAACGATGCTATCTGTATGAATACTCTTGGGTCATTTATCTGTCTTTGCAAGGATGGCTTCCGAGGTCAATCTTATTTTTCTTTTCCAACCTTCACATTTAAAATTCAGAAGTTGCAAGTAATAAAATTTTAAAATTTGTCTTTGTCCAGAAAGGTAAATATGGATCATCTTTTGGAACTTCTTGAAGAAACCTTTTCTCGTTATTAATATATCGATATCAGTTCCCTTGACTCTTTGACTTTCTTCATCTTTGGTCCTTTTATTATAGGACAGTATAGTTCCTTTTCATGCACATCATTTTCTGCAATGCTTTAATAAAATTTAAAATCAAATTCCTTAAATAACAATGAATTATTCATTTCAACTACATTTGCAGGCACTTTATGCGAAGAGAGTACGTTATGTGATCCTAATCCATGTTTAAATAATGGAATTTGTAGTATTGTTGATAACTTTTATCACTGTAGCTGTCAACCTGGCTTTACTTCTGATCGATGTCAAGTAAGTGCTTATATAAGTGATTGTATTCTCCGCCAAGTGATGCATTGAGAAAAAGAAGAATTTGATAGTTCCAATTTATTTGACGGCAAGATAACATGAATTTTATTGCTTCAAAAATGGCTTTAAGTTGTTTCATAATTCGTACAAGGAATTGTTCGATATTAAAGCACGAGAATGACTTTTACTATTAATAGAAATAAATTATCAGCAGCCATTCATTCATGTAGAAACGTGACATTTGCTTTTAAATAGAATTATTCGAAAAATAAAAAAGAAATAAAAACGAAGGATTGTGTTGAATAAATCATTGACACTTAATGTGATTGGTTTCTTTCAAACTATTTTAAAAAAAATTTTTTTAAAAAGGAACGAATTGAGGAAGAATGCAACTGCAAAAGTGATAAGCAAATTTGCATCAATGGAATATGCAAATGTCCTGATGGCTTTATGGTAAGGATACTGCTAAAAGATATATTTTGAACTGCCACAAATTTTCAGAAGGTCTCACAAGAAAATTTAAAGAATTCTTCTTTAAAGTCGCCATCACTTCTAACTTCTGTTCATTTACAGTATTATAAACTGCAGGGCAAAGATTGTGATCAGCCGTTGTCATGGTCATGCCTAAGGAATGGAGGCTGTGAAAACAGCGGTACTTGTCTTGAAACCACTGGTGGTTGTTTATGTCCACCTGCTTTTACGGGTATACGGTGTGAACACGCGCTTGAGTGCACCGTTGATGGGTATATTTTTACAGTTGTGTCGATACGGTAAAACAGACATTTATTAACTTCCATAGATCGTCCTGGTTGACAGCTAATGAAAAGACAGTCCTTTATATGGAATTAAATTGTGACCACTGACCTATATTTGTATCTGCTGATTGCTGTTATTCATTTTCATTTTCTTGAATTTCAGAAATCCGTGCTTACATGGCAACTGTATATGGTCTGCAAATGGAACTGTCTGTAATTGCAAGAATGGTTTTGAGGGGAAAAATTGCGAGAGAAGTGCCCCGGAAGTCGATCCATGCTTACGAAGAAGCTGTAATGCTGGTATCTCTTTTTGTTCTGAGACTTATCTTTTCACTAATGTTAAGGCTTCTCCATTCGTATTGATGACTATATTTGATCGGAAGTGATCTGATTCGAAGTTATTTCATAATCTGAAGAAGTGAATCTGCTCAAGTCAGTTAAAACTGTCAGTTATATTCACAGAAATATGTCTTTTATCAAACATCGTAATTAATTTTTCCGTCAGGTCGGTGCATAAGTAAAGGAAGTTCAGCAGTTTGTATCTGTCCAGAAGAGAATTCAGGCGAATTTTGCGAAAATACGAATATTTGTAAAACAGAGCCATGCATGAACGGAGGCAAATGCCTTGCTGACTTTACAAGTAAATTATAGAAATTTGATTTATTGTCTCATAAAATTTATTCCTTATCCTATTCTTACGTCGTGTTTTACTTTGTACTCTCTTTTGATGTTTTCGCGCTTTATTCGCAGCTTAAATTTGGTCAGCTCCAGAAAAGCTCAAGCAGGATTTATCTAATTAATTTGGTAGAAGACTTATATGAAGTGATTAATAAAAAGGAAAAGGCACATTAAAACTTAGGGTAATCGATTCAGATACGTCTAACTTCAAGTGTATTTGTGATGGGCGCTTCAACGGTACACGTTGCGAACTGACAATACACGGAATGGAATGTGTACCGGAGTGTATGGCAGGTGAAACTTGTATGCAAAGAAATGGTACTGTTACCTGCATTAAAGTAAGGAATTTGTTCGTCGTCAGAATAATAGAAGCAATCAATGTTGTGATGATTCACTTTAGCATCTAAAGCTTCTTAAAAAAACTTCTGAAATACTTTTCAAAAAAAAAACAATAAAAAAATTTTAGACTCAAACATCTTGTGACGATTGTGTGCATTCATTGCGATGCATTGAAAATGGTGAATATGCGGTATGCGTTTGTGACACATCTTGGACAGGACCTAAGTGTGACCAACGAATTGAGGTTTGACTAATTCCTTTTAGCTGGCTATAATGGAACAATTTAGATTAGATATGATGCTACAGAATGATGAAATGATTATATCATACAAATAATCAAAAAAAAGAATTGCTTATTAACGCATTATCAGAAGTTATAGGTAACTCTCATCAATACCCATGATTAAGGATGTATCGATCATTCATTTGATGCATTTATAGGAATGTCAAAATCTCTCGTGTACCCATCATCAAATATGTCGAAATGAGCTTACTAGTACTGGAACAATAACTTCTTGTGGATGTGCACCAGGTCTAACTGGTATAAACTGTGACATAAATACTGCTGTGACATTTCACAATACTTCATTCTTTCTCTATCAATCACCAAATAGCGTTATTGGGCATGTTTTTTTTTTCTCATTATTTCTTCCTATTTCATTTGTCGGCATTAATCTGAATAAGAGACGTTTTTATTCAGTTCTTTATATTTTGTACAGACTTCTTTATGGACAATCATTCTATGAAATTTATTCATCGCAATTCTGTGCGGTAAATTTTTAACTTCTCCTTCGGAAATGCGAAATATTTTTGAAATTAAACAAAGATAGACTTATGAAAAGTGTACTCATTTCTTTCACTTTCTTTTTTTTTCAGGTTACCACAATCCGATTACTCATTGAAGGTCACATTTCGAACAACTGTAGACAATACGCATATATTATCAACAGAAGATATCTTAAGTCAAATACAATTTGCTTTAAACATACAACATGGTTATTTATATGGCAATTTCACTGGTTTAGTTTGCCGAAAATTATTGCCATTTACTGTAAATGATGATCATTGGTATACTGTAGTATTCAGTAATACTAATAAGGTTTGAAATTATATTTTACAGTTTTGATTAACTTTCTGAAATTATCCATCATCTGGTACTTTAAATGTTAACGCCAATATATATTTGAATTGGTTCTGAATCGAACTTAAACAGCATTCAAACCATTTAATCTACAAATTTGCCACTTCTTAATGGTTTAAACTGTCTCTGTACCTCTTATCATCTACAATTTTTTTGGATATCGCATTAGAAGAGTTGGGTTCTGTTGAATGATGGCCACTTTAATCAAGTGACTATCATTTGTATAAGTACTCAGAGTGGGTTTTTCAACGAAATAACTTTAAGAAATTAATTGAGTTGCCAATATATATTAAAATTGGTATTGAAAGTTTCTAAAGTATTGAGGTTAAGGTTAGTCCCGAATTATTTATAAAAGTGAGATTCTTTTTAAATCACGATAAAAAAGTGCCCCATCATTTTTGAATAATTTGAAAATATGCATAAGAATATACACAATGTGCAGAATGTGCATTTCTCATTAAATATAAAACAATTTTAGTCATCGAAATTATACCTTTTTTTTTCTCGCAATTTCATTTGCAGATTGTTTCGTTAGAAATACGTGAAGGAGATTTTGTTTTATCGCGTTTAAAAATGAACGAACGCAAAAATATGGGTATTTATTGGACAAGAATAGGCAAAGGTCGCTCAGATGGTTTCAGGGGTTGTATTCGTGATCTGTTTATCAACGGTGAATTCACTGATATGCTTAAATCAGTGTAAGTGTTATAAGTGTCAAAGTTCAATCTTTTCTTTTTTCAGCTATTGTGGATCATAAATCAGTTGGATATACTAATTAAAATAAAAATTCACACCTGTTGGATATACTAATTAAAATAATGAACCAATAGAGTTCACGGAAATTTCCAAGTACATTTCATGTATTAGATTATTAGCTGTTTAAGATTTGTTGGATTCTCAAACAAAATTGTTCATTTTAGTAATGTATTCGGAGTCGTAGAGGGATGTCAACGTTCCAAATTATGTTCTCCTAATCCATGCCAAAATAATGGCACTTGCATTGATCAGTGGGATGAATTTCGTTGTGAATGTAAAAAACCATTCTTGTCACCATATTGCATACAACAAACCGATGAAGTGACTTTTGGATATGATAATTTAAAGTCTTTATTGGAATTAGATATAAAACAAAGTCTAGAAGACATTAAACTAGATACGTCTATTGATTTCTTGATGAGAACCAACAAGCCGACTGGAACATTGTTGTATCTTGGTGAGAAGGTATGTTACATTCGCTAGGCCTGAGTTTTTTGTTCCATAAACATGAGGCTTTACAGCTTTTTGCGGTTTTTATCCTTTTATATTCAAAAGCTTTAACCAAACTTTGAGGAAGGAAAAGTGAGGATCTTTTGTTTTCACAGATAGATATTATGAGATCGAAAGGTCAATATATTTTTATATAGGATAGCGATGATATTGGAACCTTCATAGCGTTGCAAATTCTCAACGGTTCCTTGAATATACGAACACGATTGGGAGGCAAGAAAGTGTTTTCAAGAAGTATATCAGATAAAATCGACGACAATAAAGTGCATTTGATAAGTTTAGTCAGAGATCGGAATAATTTCACTGTAAGTTCCCATTTTTATTTCTGGTTTTTTATATTTACTTGAAAGTTACGCTAACTTACTTTCTAACTTTATTTTGTTGAGTAGAAGATGCGATGAATTCATGGATTGAATATTGGCTTATTATTTGACTACTTTTCCTGTAATAAATGACATTAATCGTAGGTCGCAATAGATGGTATGGCAAAAACAAAATTCGATATTGAAAATCGTTTTGAACATCCGCTGCTAGCAGATACCTTAGTTTTGGGCAGCAGTGAAAATTTGCTTTCGGATGCATTTGAAAGTAGTGACTACTTCAAAGGGACATTACAAGACCTACGTATCAACAACCGTGTGGTTCCACTTACAACATTACCAAATGATATTGGAATACAACAGTTTGGTATTCAGATCAGAGAGGACAATATTCTTCAGGTAATTCCGCCATTTACTGGTACGTAAGGAAACAGTGTGAAAACTTGTTGCTTTTTTTTTTCATTTGCTGAGGCTGCTAAAAGCGATTTTTACATTTTAATTAGTCATTTGCTTTTTAAGAGTTAATGATGCAAAATTAATGAGTTTGTTGAGAAAGAAAACAATTTATTAATTTGATATGTTCTGTAATTATATGTAGCTTCTAATGTAACCATATGCGCATTATTGTTATTTCATGCATATTTCATCCACTGGTTTGAAATTAAAAGAGCACCGACTCATAATTCTTTAATTTTCATCCTGTTTCAAAGACTAATTTTTCTTTTTGCTCCATCTGAATCCATTCTACAGGGGACAGTATCGGATGATATTTGTGCTCTTCTGAAGCCATGCGTAAATGGAGAATGCTTAAATACATTTAATGATTTTGAATGTATATGTGAGTTTTCATGGATTGGAAAACGCTGCAATCAACGTGATCATTGTGCTCTTTCGTCTTGTGGAGCAAATGCAACGTGTATTAATTATGACGGTGGTTATGTTTGTAAGTTTGCATGTTTTATAACATAATTTACATATGCCGCTTAAATCAATCTTACCCAATTTTTCCATTGAGGAAAAAACTTCAAGTAAGATCATAGTGATGTGATAATTGTTGACAGGCAGTTCACCAGCAACATTTGTGTCAACGTCGTTCGCAAAATTTAAATTGGAAGATGGTGACGCTATGATGGATATTTTGAACCCTTTACAGATAAGCTTCATGTTACGAACTCGTTCATTATCAGGTCAAATTATTTATTTGGTAAGCTTTATTTTAATTTCGTAATGGCGTTTTGCAAACATGGAAGAACATTTTTTATCATTCCTGTTGTGCATGTGGTTTTGTAGCTCATAACCCCAAGCAGATATTATTTTTCAGAAAACTCCAACTTCTTTCCTATCCACTTCGCTGGAAGATGGTTTACTCATCTATGAGGCATTGATAAATGGT